GTATATAAGTCTACTGCTATTGACTTGTGCAGGGAAATGGCAAATGCTGTATATGTTACAAAAATGATGAACAGGAAGTCCTAAATGCTCTGAAAAACAGCCAGGTTGCAGGTAACTGGCAAATGTTAAAATATGGCTAGGTTTTCCTTGGGGGGGGGATTGCCGTTTCCAAGGGGGGGATGTGCAGGGATATTATAAGGTTCCTGCTAGGCGCAAGAAGTACTCGATATGGTCCAGCCCAAACCTCTTCTAGCAGTGCAGGTAAAACATGGAATAATAGGGTTGGAAGGGACCTTGGAGGTCTTCTAGTCCAACCCCATAGAGGGCATGGATGGAAGGACAGGGAGCTGGATCCCACAGGAGGGGAAGTTGCCTTCCCATCTACCCAGAAAGTCTCAGCAGGCCCCGGAGGAGGTGGGGGCTGGGCCCATGGTGTGTATCTCTTCCCTCGTGGGCTGCAAGCTGGGCAAAGAGGAAGAATTGCCGGGTGGAGGGAGGTAAATGGACCCTTTTCTCACTCTGGATCCCTTGAGGATCTCGGCTGGGACCAGGGTGGATCACTCAAGGACAACTCAGATGTGGGCTGTGAATTGGCCAATCATAGAAAATCATTCACGATGCTCAAAGCTGGGAATGACTGAAATGCTCCACCCAGTCAGCCGCATGGTGGATGCGGCTCAAATTTGGGGGAAGCCGTGAGGGGGAAAAACTGCTCAGGGAAAAACTGGGCTGCCATTCGCTCAGGGAAAGGCGCTGGGGAACCGGAAGCTGTGAGAAAGGCAGATGGCAGGCTGGGCCGCTTTAGGAAAGAGACGGGAGGAGGATAAACCCGGGCAAGGCCTGCAGCCCCATTGCACAGCTCCCACCGTCTGCATTGGGGGCGGGGTGGGTGATGCTCTTTGGATTCATAGTCCCAGCTCTGCCCCAGAGGAGCTTTTCCAAGCGGCGGCTAGGTTTTCTTTCCTTTTCCCTGAAGACATTTCGCTTCTCATCCAAGAAGTCCTTCTGCTGCCTGCTGGCTGCCTGCAGTTCGGCTGTTCAAATCTCACCAGGCTCAAGGTTGACTCAGCCTTCCATCCTTCTGGGGTGGGTGAAATGAGGACACAGATTGTTGGGGGCAATAAGTTGACTCTGTAAACCGCTTAGAGTTGGGCTGGAAAGCACCGTGAAGATCTATGTCTGTTGCTAAGAAGTTTCTTCAGCTCTGGAGGAGAAGAACTGAAGAAGCTTCTTGGATGAGAATTGTCTTCAAAGGAAAGAAGAAGAAAATGCAGCTGGCTCTTGAAGAAGCACCTTTGGGGCAACCTGGGTGGCCGAGAAGCTCCGTATAGACATTCAGTCCCAGGGCTGGAAAGGGAAGTTTGTGGAGCAGATCTCTTACCTGGGGAAATCCCGGCTGGCCATTAACTTGGATCATATTAAAGGGGGTTAAATTAACTGAAGAATGATCTCCAAGGACCCCCTTGGGAGGCTCGGGCTGCGGAATCCATAGCCAGATCTCTCCTGCGCCCCCCCCCCCTCCCACCAATCTGCTCAGCCCTAGGAGAAGGGCAGCCCCTCCCCTGCCCAGGCCACATTTTCCACACTGCCTCACAAAGGATGGCATCCCAGGAAGAGCCACCCAAAGAGGCCGTTGGTTGCAGAAGAGGTGGGCACGGGAGCCCCCTGGCACCTCTCTGGGGGTTCAGCTTCTCCTCTTGGCCCTTGAGGGGACATTGACTGCCCTCTGGTGGCCAAGGGCTGGCACAGCCTGGTGGGCTTCTGGCTGGGGCTTGGACCTCAGAAGGCAGAGGAGTTTCTGGGCTGGAGCTAAGGCGGTGCCTGGCTGGGGTTGGTGGGCAGAGAGGGCTCCCCTGGCCGAGATCGCCGGGGGCAAGGGGCTGCCTGCCCACCCGCCTGCTTCCTTCCATCGCAGGGTGGGCGGGAGGGAGGGACGTGTCTGAAGGGGAGGCGAGGCTGCTGGAGAAGCCAGCTAGGAGGGGCGGCCCTTGTAAGATGAGCTGGAACAGGAAGGCTGGTGTGGGGGGGGGGAGCCAGGCAGATTTCCTGTGCATGGAGCGCCTGTGACGACCCAGGAGGGAAGGGTAGGGGGACAGGAGCAAGGCAGCCATCGTCGCGTAGGAGGTAAGAGCTGGGGAGGGCTAGCGGGGCAGAGCCCCCACTGCTGCACTCTCGGCTCCGGAGAGCGGAGGAAAGTCCCTGGGCTGGTCAGCAGGGGGCAGCAGCATCTGCCTGCCCAGGGCACCCCAAAGCCCCTCAGTCCAAACCGGCCCTTCGGTGAAGCCATGCGTGGGCAGTGGGAGCCCCCCCCCACCCGGCCCTGGCTGGCAGGGGGTTGGCTCTGCAGAGCCTGGAGGGGAAGGGCCGTGCCCTGCCTGGCAGCTGGGTGCAGCCTCTGGGCCCCCCAGCCCTGCCCTTTCAGGCACACTGGCTGCTTGTTCTCAGGGTGGGCGTTGGAGCTGCTGGGCTGGCATGAAAGAAAGGGCCTATTCTTTCCACAGCTGGCCCAGGAGACCGGCATCTGCTGACAGAGGGGCCGGGGCAGTGAGGCTGCGGCATCTCCCACCCTCCACCTTGCCTCAGAAGCAGCCCCAGGGTCTGCTGGGCTCCAGCTCCATGGGAAGCCGGGCTTGGGGGTCTTTGCTCTGAAGCCACACCTCCAGGTGGGCCTCGGGGAGGGGGGCGCGCAGGGGGCCTGGGGCAATGCAGGACAAGCTGCACATCCTGGAGGACCTGAACATGCTCTACATCCGGCAGATCGCCCTCAGCCTGGAGGTACCGCGCTGGACGTTGCTGCTTTCAGAGGGTGCCGGTGGGGGGGGGGGAGAGTTTGTGGTTGTGGGTCAGCCTGTGGGTGGGTGTATTTCAATTTATAGGGTCACCCATTTCACCAGTGTGACTCGTGGGGCGCCTGCAGGAGGACTGGAGGGCCTGGGAGAAGCCCCCCCCCCTGCAGATGCCCGTTTCTAAGGAGGGGCTGCAAACGGAGTGCATGGACTTTGCAGATGTGTCCCTCCATTTTCGGTGGCAACCGTGTGGCTGCCTTCCAGGATGGGCCTTTGACTCCCCTGGGTCTCGGTGGGGTCCCCAGCGGTCCTCACGCGAGGGGAGCAGTGCTGTTCTCAGCCGGCAGCTTCTTGGCACCTCCGGCAGGGGCCCTTCTCCTTCGCGGGGCTCCCTGGGCTGGGCTCTCTTAACCGCGGCTGCCGTGCGCTTTGCCTGTGGCTTCCTTGGTGACCTTGCTGCATCCCGTGATCTCTACCGCTCCCCTTGGCCTGAGAGGCCAGTGGGCTTGGTGGGCGCTGCCCAGGGCCTCCTCGCCGTGTGCCCTGCAGTGGCCGGAGCCCTGGAACTCCGCGTGTTTCTGCTTGGCTGCCCAGCGGAGGAGTTGTGGGGGGCTGGCAGGATTGGAAGGCGGTGGCATCTCTCGCATTGCCCTCCTGGATCTTGGAAAGGGGCAATGCTGATCAGGAAACACCTTGCCTGGGACCCTAAGAGGGCATCAGGTGGCTCCACAGAGTTCGGGGGGGGGGATGACCCCATGATGGCTGCAGAGGCATGAATATTTGCTGCTTGCAGCTGTCCAGCCTTCAGACCCCCCCAACTGCATGGCTGAGCCAGGGAAGGGCCCAGAGCCGGAGGTGACAGCTGTCTCCTTGGAGGGGAGGGGTCCTTCAACCTGGGCCTGGGTCTCCCTGGTGCCTCCCTGAGCTGAGGAGGCTTCCCCACCCCTTTGCTTTCCCTTTGTCCTGGCAGCAGAGGGGGCATCTGGTCTCTGGGTGAATAGAGGCAGATGAGGCTGGAGAGAAAGGGAGGGGCCCCTTGGGGAGGAGGCTGCCCTGCCTGAGAGCAGAAACCCTTCTGCCTTGGCACCGAATGCCCGAGGGGATCCCTCCCCATTTGCTCTCGCAGCCTTCAGCGGATCGGGCCCTCTCTCTCCATCAAACCCCCCCCCCCATGAGGGTCCCCCTCTCTGCTGGGAGAGAAGGCAGCCCCCCCCCCCGGGCTCTGGGCTTTGGGAGGGGTCCCTCCGCAGTTGCCTCCTCCTCGCGGGGCCCCCGCAGATCCCAGGCGGCCTATTTTTAGGCAGCGGTGATGTCACAGCCCCCCCGCAGCCCCTTCCCAGGCGCCCCCTCCCCGCCGGTGCAGCTGCCGCCCGCAGAAAAAGCTCGCCGCAGCGGAGCGAACGGGGCGGAGGCGGCCTCGGGGTATGAGCCGGCGGCATGGAGAACGGGAAGCCGGCCATGGTGAGCGCCGGGCTGGGGGAAGAGGAGGGGGCGGCTGCCGGAATAGCCAGAGCTTTGGGGGCGGCCGAGCGCATTCCGAGGGGGGGGCACCTCCCTACGTCCCAATGAAGGCTCTGAGGGGAGGGGGGTCACATCCCTCCTGCTCTCCTCCCTCCTCTGGGTTGGCCTCTATGCCAAGGGGGCATCCCAAAAAGAGCTGCCCCCCTCCCCCCCCCCCCCCCGCAGCATTCCAAGCCCAGAGGCGGGTGAGCTTCTCTGCCTTACAGCTGCCGCAAAAGCTGCCCCCCTCCCATGGCCAGCCAGGTTCTCCCCCCAGTCTGAAAAGGGCTGGGAATGAGACTGGGGTGGGGGGCTGAAGGCTGCCGGATGGGTGAGGATTTTCACTGGGAGGGTCTGCTGTGGGCTCCCTCAGCCCCCATTTTATAGCAGTGTCTCTTCCTGACATTGGGGGGGGGGGCTCAGATCCCTGCTCCCCCTGCAGTGAAATGCCTCCTTTCACAGCAAAGCTGCCTTTCCGTGAGTGGGAGGGAAAGGAGGGTGGGCAAAGGGGGATGGGGCCCTCCAGATGTGGGGCTGCTCTTATGGCGCCAGGCTCTTCCCTGAACCCCCCTGCAAGCGGATGAGGGAGGGGGCTCTGTGGGGCCGCCACTTCTCTCCCCACCGGCCCCTAAAGCCTTTGGGCACCAGGCCAGCTCACCGGCTTCCCCTCCTCCACCCACCTCCAGAGCCTTCTGTCCCAAGACCCCCTTCCCACCCCAAGACCTTTGCACCTTCAGCTGCGTCCCCTCCCCCCCAGGGCACAGACCTCCAGAAGAGAATTGACCACGAGATCCGCATGCGGGAGGGGGCCTGCAAGCTCTTGGCGGCCTGTACTCAGCGGCCGCAGGCGCTGGAGGTGACCAAGAGCCTCCTGGTCTGCAACAGCCGCATCCTGGCCTACATGGCAGAGTTGCAGCGCATGAAGGAGGCGCAGGTGATGCAGCACATGGCTCGGCGGTGAGTTGGCCTCCGGTATCCTTGCTGGGTCGGTTGTGCAGAGAGCCTGGAAAGTCTGAGCCGCTCCCTCCCTCCCACCCCCACCGCCACCCGGCCAGTCCCCCCACGCCCTGCTGGGTTCTGTTGCCATGGAAACC